ACTTAAAAAGTACATGCAATTATAGCACACTTAAAAGACTTTATCTCCAGATGAGGCCATTCTCTTAGAAGATATATAAAGCAGGCTTCTAAAGTAGCTCATGCTAAAATGAACTCTGTCATCAACAGGTTCAATGTTTTCCAAATGCGCAAAAAACATCTGACAAGAAGCAAGAGATTAGGTGCTTGCATAGGTGTTTAGTAGTGCAAACCTGCAATCAAAGAACCTTGTTAAAGTTATAATATGTTTATAAAGGATTTTTGTCATTTACTTTAACAAAAATGTTCTAGTCTTGTAATATGTAACATAAAAACTAATAAAAATTGTATTATCATCCATATTTTTGAAACAAAACCATTAAAAACCATAAACTTATATAAGAAATTTTTGCAAATTTTAAAACTAAATTTTCTCAAAAAAGGCCATTTATTAGATTTGTTAAAAGTCAGATCCAAAACATATGATATTAGTGACTTAAATCTATTGAAACCTTATGGTTTTTTTTAAGTTTCATAAATTTCACAAGTTCAATATCCTCATTATAAATTCAACATACTAGGTTCATATTCTTTAAAAATTAAAACAAATTGATGTCTTATTACAGTGAAAAAATCTAAAATAAACAACAACCAATGTAAAACCCTTTGGTTTGGAGTGTTGTATGTGACACCTGTGAGTTGACACAACTTTTGCAGAAAAATATAAAGATAGGCTGAACTCAAAATCAATCCATATATCATACAGTAATTGCTAAATGATATTGTGCACATGATTTATTAATTAGATTATTTAATGAAATTGCCTATTTGTTAAATAAATGAATAACAGTATCATAAAAACTTTGTTTACAGTAACAAACGATAATGTGTTTTAATACAACTTTATTAGCTTTATTGCAAAAATACAAAACAAGTATACTAAGAACTGTCTCATTTTGTGTTGAGAAATTTTTTTGCATGTGATCATTGGGGTCATATTATTTTATACTTAAAACCTATATTTGTGAACTGCGCTTGGCTCTTCAAACCCCCCCCCCCTCCCCACTTAATATAAAAGATTTGAGCTATTTGACTTACTTCATAAATGATTGCTTAATCTTTTGTAAATGGTGTTTTTCTGTAAAAAAAAATATATATCTTAGTTTTATTTCTCAATTTTTTTACCAAATATGTGTGGTTTTCAAAGTACCTTTTATTTTATAGAATTCTATTTTTTTTTACAAATATTGGTAGTCTTCAAAATTATTATTTTTTTAATAATTTCATAAGATCATAATTTTTTTCACTGCTACTATATTCTTCAAACATTTTTTTACCAATATTTGTGGTCTTCAAAGTAGCTTTTATTTTATAGAATAATTTTTTTTTTTTTGAAATTTACAAACAATTAGTTTCTTAAAGTTAATAGAAATGTCAATTTTTGTGTTGGAACCTTTGGATAATAGTATTGAATCAAGATTCATTACTTTACTCAAAATATCAACCTCAAATAGAACTAAAAAAATTTTTTGATTTTTTGATGAAAAAGTTTATTGAGCAAGTAAATTGAAATCTTGTTGTTTAGAAACATTTTTGGCATTTATAATAGTTGCACCCTGTCTAATACATTGATGAAAAAATTTGCATGTCATTGCATTATTGAAATTTACAAAATAAGTTAAGATGGGGGGAGGAGTTAGCGATTTTGTGAAAATTTGTTACAGGGGCAGAGGGTATTCAGTTTTGTAACACAACTTTTTTTTTTTCAAGTTTCAAATCTAGAATATCTTTTCTTTTGATTAAGAGAGCTGAGTCTAAAACAATTGACTGTGGCTATTCTAATTTAACATAAAATGAATCAACTTTTTAAATTGACTTAATTTTTATTGGACTTTTTGTAAATTGACTTTTAGTCAAATAATATATATGACTATGGCTTTATGAGTCAATGATATAGCTGATATATCATCAATGGAAAAATAATTAATAATATAGTTATTAAACAAAAATAATTGTATAATAATTATTAAATAATAATAATAGTCAATATGCATTAGCATAAATAATATTGTAATGTTAATATAACCTGCACCCCGATACTAACTTATTGCTAAAGAAGTTATTTAAATAATATATTTATCAAAAATTAAACATATCTTCTGAGATTGATTATTCGTTTAGTCACTGTTAATTTATACAACTTTATATCGAACTACAGGCCTATAGAACTATACTTCTATAAGAGTGCAAAAAATATATATGTATATTCCACATCCTCCATACTTATTAAAATCAGTCGATGTATGCAACTATGTTGCAATTACTGTCATATCAGTCAATTTATGTACACATCGATTATTATTTTTGGGTGAAACTTTGAAAAATATAAATAATAAATATAGTTATAATTAATTAAAAATTATTCTTAAAACATATAAAACAACTTTCAATGACACCAAAATACAAAACAGAAAAACATATTCTCATAAAACACAAAAATTGCACCCTTAAAGAGAATTAATCCCTCAAGCCTTGTTAGCTGCATCTCAAAATACATGAAATTGATCATGCACGGCTCTGCGCCAACACATTATGGAAGAAAATATTAAATATTTAAATGTTTTTCTAATAAGTATTTTTGTGGGCTTTTTATTTGTACATGCCTACAAATAATGATTTTAAAGTAATATTAAATAATAATAATTAAAATTTATATGTATTAAAATGCATTTATAAGATAACTATAAACTAAGAAAATTAAAAATATTATTGTAGTTAAAACAACAAAGGAAAGGGTACAAATTTGTTGGGAGGGAGGAGGGAGCAGTAAAATGTGATAATTTGTAACTAGAGGGGAGAGGGGTGGATGGGGTCCTAAATTGTCAAAAACTGCATGATGTAATTTATGGATGACCCCTGTGCAAATATCTTCATTCTATAAAAATATGAACTTAATAATTTTGAAAAAAGTTGAAAATTTCTTCAGCATTCAGAATTTGTATATAAAATAAAAACAACATCAAAACCATCATGGCCATTATACAAAAAAATTTTTATAAATTAATTAAGTTTGATGAAACAATATATTTAAAAACCATATGACAACAGGTTAGAAACTGCTCAAGATTTTTGTGATGCAAGAGACCATTTTGACAAAGTAAGTAAAAACCTGAGACGGTGGGATACAAGTCATCCCACTTTCTCATGGAATACCCAATAGTAAAGTTAAGGTAAATGTAGTAAAACTTACAGAGCTCATACGATATTATATTTAAATGAAAAAATGCACATTAAATTATATTTATAAAAAGAATTTTTTTTTGACTTGATAAAAATAAAAAAAAGCTTAGATTAAATTATTGAACAAAGAAACTTTAAATCAACTAAAGTAAAACGAGGTGAACACTGACAGCTAGATGAATAGGGACTTCTTCCAAAAAGATGTAATTGTGAAACTTTACCAAATTCTTGCATTATCAACTTGATGAAACTGTAAGAAATTACAAATTATGTCTCTAACAATAACTAATATATTTTGACTGATTTCAAGTTTTCAGGAAAAAATAATGAATAATGAGCAAATAGGGGATAGTGTGGGTATTTGTAAATTCTGCCCAGAACTCAGGAAAAAAGCAGAAATCTTGGCTGAGTTGATCTTTTTTTTTTACTTGGATAAATGTCTTGGAACATTTTTGTGTCTATAAAATAGGATGCAGGAATGTTCTATCCCCGGTTAAAGAGAAATCACTGTTTTGCTATTCTTTAATAAAAGGATGTAAAAATTCATAAACTCTTGAATATAGAAATGTTTTTAAACTTAATGCACACTCTGGGGCAGGGCAACAAATCTTATTTTGTTAATACCATAGACAATGGTACCCGTATCAACTTTTTTTATTATTAGAAATAAACTGCACCTAAATTTTATTTTAATTTCATTCTAAATAATAAATTGATGCTCATTTTTTTACTTAAACAATTTAATTTGTATGACAACTTTTAATGTTAATTTGGGTTCATTATGTGTCATTGTGCCTCAATTATGTTTTACATTGTCATCCTTTTTCATCCATTATATTGTCATCATTTTACACACATTTTAAAAAATTTTTAGCAGTTAAGCTTTTACAGAATTGTTTTTTTTTTTGGCCGAATTTTCTGCCAATATTTTTGAAGATTTTTTAAGAGGGACATGGTACAAACATGTTTTGCTGTGTTATTTTTTAGAAAAAGATATCAATATAGGTATTACTAAATACTAGAAAAGTTAGTTAGCATGACTTTTTTTTTTTTTTTTTTGCTGTGTCATTGTTTTTACCTATTCTCTCATCTTTAAAAACTTTTTTTTCTTACTACCTGCCAAATTTTATTTAAAAAAAGCTTGCCAAGATACTTTACTAACTTGCCAAAAACACACTTTATTAATGATATAGACCCAGGTAAGGAGAGGGTTATTGTTTGTTACTTTTACCCATTTAACTCCAAGTATCAAAATACCAAGTTATATACATTTTGACAATGTTATGACATTTTAAGTCGAGAAAAACTTAAAATTTGGTTACAGTTTCTTCAACAAATTCTTATATGTAAAATATGACTTAAAACAACATAATTTTATGTAGAATTATTCAATTTTTATAATTTTTTACTTTTAAAATACTATATCAAAGCACTTCCTAATGATATATAGTATAATCTAGTATTTAATTGTTTTAAAAATTTCATTTCACATACCTGTAACATGCCTTTACTAACTCCTATCAGAGATGGAACAAAAACAAATATCTAAAACAGTTGGTGTCTCAGCTCACCCCCACATGAGAGTTTAATAAGGATAGACAGAAAACAAAACAAAAATTGGTTATTCATTAATTTTATTTATCAAAAACTTCAATAGGAGCAGTATATATCCATATTTAGTACTAGAAAGCGCAATCAAAACTATATTCTCAGTTAGTACTTTATATATTATCATAAAACTTAAAAACTATCTTTATTCAAAAATTAAGCACCTGAACATACCTAAAGTCATCTGCAGAACATATTACAACATCATTGCTATGAAATAACTTGGATATTTGCTTAGCAATAGTAGATTTTCCTGAACCTGGTAAGCCCCTCATAATGTACATCACTCTATATTTTTGGCAAAACTGAATAACATTGTAATCACTCCAAGTATCACTTTCTATGCTGACATTAAGATTTTCCTCAATGTTAAACACGTCTGGTACGGTTGATAATTGAAAAGATTTTGACAATTGGCATGTTTTGATATTAGACTTATAGCTGTATTGGGTACCACATATACAACTTTTATTTTCATGAATAAACATTGATTGGGTACAATAAAAAGGATGCATTAATAGCTTACTTCTGTAGTCAGCAAAGTAATTTTTTTTTTTCGATACAGCACAGTAGAACAAAATAATATTGTAGCCATTTCGAAACTTTAAAAATGTTTTGGAAATTAAACTTACAGCGATATTGGTCCCCACCGTGAAAATTTTATTTTCAGAACTGATGTATAGCAACTAATACGAGTTTATGTTCTAAAGTTAATATAATCTTAAATTATTTTTCAATATTCGCACATACAACTATTTAAATGTTTAAGAGCCATTATCTGAGAAATATAGGCAAAATCGGCAAAGTCTGGAAGTGATGTCTTCAAAATCTCTTCATTTTCAGATATCTTATAGAAAACAATGAAATTAGGCCACAGTTAAATTTTTTTTCAAAAACTCCCATTATTTGCGGAGATATCGGGGGCTGAAATTTGGCCCATTTTGTAAAAATATTGGTGCATGGAACGGAATTACTACTTTTAGGGGCAATTTTAGCAATATGAATTTGAGAAACTCATTTATTTTTCTTATTTCTACTACTCTGAGTGGATTTCTCTGGTTAAAATAAAAATTCAAAATGTTTACATTTTTTATTGTCTAGAAATCACGGTTCAAAACCGCTAAATTCGAAATTTTACCCGTACTTTGACCATTTATATCTCCTAAGGCCATTACTTGCACATAATTTACTTAACTGCTTTTGAAAGCCAATAAGGTATACATTGAATTTATAGAAAAAAAATTATGAGTATGCAAGAGCCTGAGAAAGAGTAAGCTTCCAAAAATGAATTTTCGCGGTTAATACGCTTTGTTAGATTACAAATAACAATCGTGGCCTTAGGTCTGCCATGAAATGTATAAGTTATTTCGTTTCCTTATACATGCATCTTCCAATATCTGAAAAAAAATTCATGTGCTTAAGCGATAAAAAGCCTAGAGAAGTCCTAGAAATAGTCTAATTTTGCCACATTCTTAACCAACAAAATACCCTAGCAACGACATAGATATGCTTAGCAACGGCTTTCATTAAAAAAAGTATCTTTAATGTCACTTCCTTACTTTGGTTATTACACTTTTGCCATCGCATTCTTTGAACCTATTGTTGCGCATTTTGTTACATTAAAAAAGCATAAAAAATAATTTTTATCAAGCACTTTTGTACAGTTTATACAGTTTTGTTATAAAAATGTATTTTTTATTTATTTTTAATTTGAGTACTAACTATTAAAAAGTAAAATTAGCCGTTGCTAAGCATATCTATGTCGTTGCTAGGGTATTTTGTTGGTTAAGAATATGGCAAAATTAGACTATTTCTAGGACTTCTCTAGGCTTTTTATCGCTTGAGCACATGGATTTTTTTTCAGATATTGGAAGATGCATGTATAAGGTAACAAAATAACTTATACGTTTCATGGCAGACCTAAGGCCACGATTGTTATTTGTAATCTAACAAAGCGTATTAACCGCGAAAATTCATTTTTGGAAGCTTACTCTTTCTCAGGCTCTTGCATACTCATAATTTTTTTTCTATAAATTCAATGTATACCTTATTGGCTTTCAAAAACAGTTAAGTAAATTATGTGCAAGTAATGGCCTTAGGATATATAAATGATCAAAGTACTGGTAAAATTTCAAATTTAGCGGTTTTGAACCGTGATTTCTAGACAACAAAAAGTGTAAACATTTTGAATTTTTATTTTAAGCAGAGAAATCCAGCTAGAGTAATAGAAAAAAGAAAAAGAAATGTGTTTCTCAAGTTCATATTGCTAAAATTGTCCCTAAAAGTAGTAATTCCATTTCATGCACCAATATTTTTACAAAATGGGCCAAATTTCAGCCCCCGATATCTCCGCAAATAATGGAAGTTTTCGAAAAAAAATTTAACTGTGGCCTAATTTCATTGTGTTTTATAAGATATCTGAAAATAAAGAGATTTTAAAGACATCACTTCCAGACTTTGCCTATCTTTCTCAGATAATGGCTCTTAATAATGATATTGATATTTCGCTCGGCGATCAATTTTGTTATTTCGGCAAAAAATGAATCAATTAATTAGAATCCCGGTGTAGCGGTAAATTAAGACTCCAGGAAATTAGGACTTCGAAGCCAGGAAATCGAAAAATTTGACGGGAAAATTTGATGTTATGAGTCATAATTTCCCGGGAAATTATGATTAGAGCGGTAAATTAAGACTCCAAGAACTTGCGATTCAAAAAGAAAATTTACAAAGAAATCGTTCTATTCTGCAGTAAAGAAATTTTTTTAAAAAAACTGTAAATAGAATATAACTGTTGCGCTATAATTGTTTCGTACGTAAACAAATAAATAAATTGTACAAATAAACACAAGTGTACTGCTTCATGGCGAAGGAAAGAAAACATTTTGATTTTGATAACATAGAAGATTATCTTAGGAATAAAAAATACCCTTCTACTATATCTACACATGATTATGGGATTAAATCAAATTTTTAAAGAGCAGCAAAAAAGACGGGCATTTATTTAAAAGAATAAGTATAAAAGAATAGTTATTAAAAACAAAGAACTCCAAATGGAAGTTATTAGAGACGTACATCGAAGAATTGGAGATTCTAAAAACTTTAAGGCAATGGCCTCACATAGAGGAAAAAACACTTCGTATGACAATGTTGCGCAAAGATATTTTTGGTATAATATTGCTGCTGATGTTAGTAAGTATATTAGGAGCTGCGAACAAATGTCAAAATGTCAAAAACAAGGTGACCTAAAGTCTCCAAAAGTAGTCTATACCAGTACCATCAAGTGTAATAGAACAAGTTGGAGTGTACATTTGTAATCTTCCAGTAGTCTATGGATGTCGTTATATCATTGTTTTGATCGATTGTTTTTCAAAATGGTTGGAAGCCATTATGGAAAAATCAGCTCAAACTGTCTCTCAATTTTTGTACGAGATTATGTGTCGGCATGGGTGCTTTAAAATCCAAATCAATGGCCAGGGTTGGGAGTTTGTAAACGAAGTATGTAAACAACTACACGAACTAACTGGAGTAGAGCAGAGAATTACGTCTGCCTATCACCCTCATGCAAATGGATTGGTAGAACGTCAAAACCGAACAATAAAGAACTCTTTGGTAAAGGTTTTGGAAGGTAATCCTAAAATGTGTCCGTAAATTATTGATGGTATTCTTTTTGCTCATCGCGTTAATCGACATTCTTCTACTAACTACTCTCCATTCATGCTGATGTATAATCGCAAACCAATTTTGCCAATTGATGTAAAGCATAGCCTTGTCAAAGACGAAAGCAATAAACAAGAACACTGAGAAGAAAATATAGACGTAGAACAACCATTCGATAACAACTTTTTTGATGCCATCTTTTCATTAACAAGTAAAGTCAGAGCAACAATCATGTCTGAAGCAAGCAAAAATATAAAAGCTGCGCAGAAAAAGCAAAATCGAGATTATGATAGTAGACATTTGTCAAAGTCAGAAATAAAGGTAGATGACATTGTATTATTGAAAAACAACAAACGATTTGATCGGAAGGGTGGGAAGTTTTCACAAAAATGGCTCGGTCCTTTAACTGTTGTGAATATCTCTGAAAAAGGAGTTGCAACTTTAAAAAACGCATTAGGGTTAACTCTTAAAAAAACATACAACATTGTTCAACTTAAAACTTATATTCAATGAGCAGACAACAAATTAAAACAAATATTTGTTGAAGAATCTGCATTTTTGGAATCATGCACCAGACAAAATTGTTGAGATGATTTTGATTTATGCCGTGCAACAATCGGAGAGCTCATTCCTTGGACACAAGTGTGAGACTTATGCAAATATCAAATCAACGTGTAGTAAGTGGGTCCGATTATTTGAAAGAAAGGTACTACCTTACTTCCAAAGATATATACTGATTCGTGAAAGCCTCTTGGAAAACCCTCCGATCATAATAATCAAAGTAATACTGTAGGTACACAAATGTTAATAAGAACTTTCGGAAAATCTAGTGGACAAGCTAGCCAACTATCAAATTGCATCGGTGATAAAAAGTGGCAATTTTCTTGGCTTATCTTGACACCTCAGAAAAACTCTTGGTATACCGTAAATCGAATTTTCTTGAAAACAAAGGTATGTCAGCCAAGTCAATCATCTTTGCAAGTTTTGTCTTTATGGCTCAAGAATTAACTGTATGAGCTCACAGAGGCAGATGGGGAAATTTTGGAAAGTAAAGATAGCTGGTTGAACGACAACCTTATGGACGCAGGGCAAAAGTTAATTTGTAAGGCTCTTGGTAGCCATGAAACTTACCAATCAGTATTAAACTGCCAGGAAAAAAATCCACATATTTCCCAGTTTCTGGCGTCCACCATCAAAAATTGCACGACAGTAGTTTTCATTGGCTATTATCATTTGCTTCAAATGGCAGGGTTCAAGTGTGCGATAGCCTGCGCACTAACCTAACATCGATTTCGAAAAAATGTTTAAAATCCCTCTATCAACCACTTGTAAAGAATGGAAAGCTTAAAGTAACATTTTTTTCCATTGATGAGCAAATTGATAGTTTCGATTGTGGTGTCTTTGCTTTGGGTTATGCAAGTATAATGCTGGATGGAAAATCACCTCTTGATGTTTGATTTATTGTGAATGAAATGCGCACTTAATATATAAAATATTTGACAGACGCTCACTTATATCTTTTTCCAACACTTGAAAAGGCCGTCAATGTTTCATGCAACTTACCTAAACTTTTCATGATTTGATTCAAAACTCAAAATTGACTTTTCACTTGTATGTGATTTTATAAATTTGTTTAAAACCATTACAAAGCAAATCGGTAATCAATACTATTTTCGTAATATGTAAACATTTTTTTAGTATATTGCTTAGAGTTTTATTTTAAGTATTTACGAAAGAAAATATTTGCGTTAAATACAAAATATGAAAAATACCTTAGCCGTCCATAGAGGACGTTATCCTTTTTAAGGCAATTTCACTCACTCCCCCTCCCCCTCCAGGCGGAAGCGGGAGAGGTAGGGCCAGGTGGCAAGTGCCCCTCCTCACTCACTTTTTATTTATTAAAGAAGTTGACAATATTTATAAAAAGTCGAGGATTTTTTTTAAATAATTTACACTTTAGCAACATTTTTGAAAAAAAATATATTTATATATACTCTAACGATATATTCATAAAGGCACGTTTACATAGTTTTCCATGTTATTTAATATAAAAATAGAAAAAAAAATCTTTAAGGGAAATCTTTTTCTTGTAAACCCCTTCACTCCCACCTTGTCTCTTTTTATCCTTCTTATCTCAACCCCCTCCTCCTTTTTTGCAATAAGTTTTTTATGGTTGACCTCTTGAGCAATTCATTTATCTTTTTTTAAAGAAAAACAACGATTAAAAAAAAGTAAAACTTTATTCGATTAAACTTATTCATTTCTACTAACTTCTATATTCTAAATATTTTATATTTCTACTATTTATCAAAAGTTTAGTTATTTCTCTATCATCAATTGAAAATAAAATCAATAAAAATATAAAATCAATAAAAAAAATTGATTTCATCAAACAAGATATTA